ACAGACTCAAGTATATAATTAGAAAATTTATTGAATGGTTAACACACCCACTTCATTGTATTGGGATTATTAGATGACTTATGTGATTCATCCATGATCTAACTGGTTATATTGGTAACCCAAGATTGGATTTTTCAGCTAATCTGTTGTGTATCTGCACATACCACCCATGTCAAAACCAACAACAGGTTGTCTTGTCTCTGTACAGTATGTTGTCATAGCATACCCAACCTACAATAAAACAGTAGAAGTTCTTCACCAGGAAGATGTCAGCAAGGGGAAGACAATGATAAGGGCAGGTGTTATAATGATGATGACTACTGACAACATCATTTAATTGTAAACTTTGCTAAGTGAATTGATTACAAAGGTGAGATTAAGTACTACATAATACTAATGAAAAATTAAAAGTACTGTTACTTACAACTCCTCCTGCTGGACCAGAGAGAATAGCGTGAGAACCAGAAAACCTTTTTTCAGATAAAACAACACAGTTAGAAACCTAACACTTTAAAGACTTTCATTTCATGGTATATGTACCTAACTGTTACAAAATGCTCCCTTTTAAACACATTATCAACCCTATACACCCTAACATCAGTATGCATATTCTCCATACTAGTCTCAGTGCATTTCTTAAGGTGCTAGTAAGGAGAATTTGTTTAACAATTGAGAACTCTTTAGTTTGTGATCGTTTTGTTTATTCTCATGACCTTAAAGTGTGGTTCAGGAGCAATATTGTAAGGAGAAATAAGATTTTAGTTACTCTTAGGGGTCAAAGGATAAAAAAGGATAATATTCTATTTAATGTCTTACTTTGACACAGGAGTTAGTCCACCATTAGACTGCATGAACAAGACTTTTTCCTATAGATGAAAAAGGGATAAACAACAAACAAAGCAGGTCCATTTCTATCCAGTAACTCATATCTGATGTGGATAAAACACCCAGTGAACATACATTATACCCTTCCACCCAAATGGAATTTTGATTTTACCTCAATTCCACTCTTAAAACCAGATAGAAACCCATTTACGTATCTCTTGATGCAGGGTGTTAGGTAAGCATCTGCACAAGCTGAAAAAGAACAGTTCAGGAAATGACAACAAACCAATTAACTGATGAGCAGAGATTGTTTATTTGTAAATCAAGCTGCATCACAGTGGACATGGTTGACCACGCTTTAAACTATTTTGTTGCATGCCCAAGAACTGATAATATTGTCTTAGCTTGGTTACTTCCAGATTTAAAAATGAACGAATGGTATCGGTTTCACGTACCTGTGTATCCTCTTGGAACAACTTTTACCATTGGCATAACAGCAGATGACAATGATACTTGATCAAAACCCATTTCAAGGGCTACTTGGCCAATTTCCCTCTCATGGCTGTCATATCTTGAGGCATAATAATCCAAAAGTACACAAAGATATTACAGAAACTTTTACTCTATGTACATGTATTTATTGTAAGTATAGCTGCTGAATGTTATGATGAGAAATGCAATGGATAAGTTCCCCTGAATGACAGTACAAACATTTCACATGTATTCCTAAGGTAAGATGTGAACCATTAATTAATTCATCTTGGCCAAATATAAAGGAAAGGGAATTATAAATATGAGACTTTGAGAACTACAGCTAGAATTTTTTACTGTGAGGGGCATGTGTTTTGTATCTGCAGTCACTGTCAGAAGGGATCCAATTGAAAATATAATTCTATAGTAATGAAAAATGAAAATATGGACACCTGTACATCAATTTCCATGTAAAGTCACACCAGAATTATGGTTGTTCAGAAATATATTGTTTATCTATAAACCTTAGGTTGCAAAATTTACGTCAACATGAAATAACCAATCTAATGTGCCATCATTGAACATAGAAAGGAGGAAAACAAGGTAGGCCAAATAAAGACAAAAATTACCATACATGTATGAGTGTAAAAGTGCTACTGCCAGACTCTTGATCCCTTTATCCAGAATCCTCTTTTGTTAAAAAAAAGAATGCTATTAGTAATACTAGTCATAGAGAAGGAGCAGCTTATTCCAACCCTTCCCTCCAGAATTTTCAGGAAATCTTAGTTAACATAATGAAATTTAGGGGAAAAAAACAAAGAACAGATCTGAATAAAAAGGAAGGCTACCAATCATTCAGTTTCTATGTGCAAAACTTTAAATTTCTTTGGTCTAAATCTAGTTCCCAAAATTCTTTAGCATTTAGTTTCAAAAACCTATTTTGACCCAAAGATATGCTCCCACAGATTTTGCCCCCCCCCCCCCCCATCCCATTTTGCAAAGGGATAGCTCGTGCTGCAGCTAAGAATTACTACACAGGACTTATAGTTAAGCAGTCTCAATAGTAAATATATCACCTGCAGATCCTGTTTGAGCTTCAATCTGTCAAGTGGTTTCCAAACTATGAGCTAAGGATCAATAGCAAACAAAAATTAAAACAAGTTGAATTTTGTTAACCATAATATTTCACAAAGAAACTTTTTGTCATTGACTCAGAGCTAGGTCTCTTAATTAGTCACAAACAAGCAAAAATTCATCTCAGCCCTAAATCAAAATCACACACATGCACACTTTCTCTCTCTCTCTCTCTGCCTTAACTCCAACATGTCAATTATGTGAGCCCACTAGTCCTCAGGTAAAAATAAGCATTTCCTTCCCACAGCAAATTTAAGTAACTTAAAACCCTGATTATCATTAATAATTTATTATCAATTTTAGTTTTAGCCCAAACTTCCTCCTCTTCACCTTTTCTCCAGTAACTCCTGTAACCACGAAGCTGTCATCTGGCAGTTCTAATTCACTTTTCTCTTGCATTAGAACAACTCTCTCTTTGGCTTCAATCACATCATCATACAAGACCTCTGGACAAGTTGCTTTCTGTTTATAATACAAAACAACAAGTGGCTTAATAGAGCTTTGTATTTTCATAGATTTGCTAAATCACTGGGAAAAGTAGAAAACTACTTTTAATTATTGCTAAAACCCTATATTACCAGGAAAGAATAATTAAAAAAAAGAACTAGATGCAATATGTTAATTTTGGTGCTTCATTAATTATTGACCAAAAGAATTAGACAAAGGATTATTAACTGCAGTGACAGCAAATGAAAGGAAGTTGATGTCTTCAGAATTAGCCCTTTTCCTAATACAACACTCCAAATTTCAGCTTTCTTTCAAATTCACACTTATTGACTAAGTGTAGTTGATAATCAACTTAAGGTTTCCCTTTTCTATCAATGCTGCTTAGCAGTTTCGTAAGATTCTAATGTTTCTATCATGCACAGCTGCCAAATGAATGCAGCATCATAAATTCCCATGAAGGCTAAAGAGAGGGAACTCCTGGCAGAGAATTGTCGTGTTATGAAGAATTAAGAACAACATCAAAGTCACCGAAGTCTGATGTGGCTGTGTTATTGCTTAGGGTTAGGACTATACAGAAGTGTAATAAATAAATAAATAAATGAGTCTTACTAAATCAAACAAGTATGGTCTTGTCTGATTGCCAATATGCAACAAATCATGGAATCCTTCAGTAATAACCAGAGCCATTCTTTCTCCCTTTCGTTCTAACAGAGCATTTGTAGCCACTGTGGTCCCCATCCTTATCCACTCAATGTACTTTGGATCAATAGGCTGATCTGCAGGCATCTTTACTCCTGTTACCTGTCAAGAGGTAATGGGTATATGCTCGTACAATTTACAGCAATTCCATAACTTTGAAATTTACTCGTTAACCTTAAACCCTGTCTCAACAAAAAGTTCTTTCTAACTCAGTTTTCAAAACATTCAGTTGTGAAATCAGTAAGTCTGAATTTGACGATTATTTTTTTTCTCTCTCTACAGGAAGACGCTTTTTCAACTGTTCCCTTAGAAATGCATATTTGTTTCCTCCTAACCCCTCGAAGATAACCCATAGGCGTGGTGGGCACAAATTGGAATGGTCACCTAGACATGGAACGGCCAAATTCCACACTAACAAGGGGCTCAATAAGAGATCACCTGAAGTCCATTAAAAACAATTGACGCTTCCGAGAAGTGTTACATACGTAATACCTCTTGTAATATTCGTCTAATTCCTTCTCTTGGTGCATCAGGATATGCAGGATCCACCGACAGCAGTTTCATCACTCGTACTTCTCCGTTAGGACATTCGGCATAAACGTCTGTAAAAGTTCCACCTCGATCGATCGCAAATCTGAAGTTGCCGCCAGCCATATCGCGAATCAAGCAAAATTATGGGGATTGCTGGGGAATTGCAATGACCTTCCTCTTCTATTCTCTCTTTAAAGTATACTGAAAAAAGTGGACTGACAGTAAGACGATGAAAATTTGTAATAGTTATGCGCCGGATTCGAGGCTGCATCATACCCCGTGTGCGGATGGGGAATTTGAACCTCGCCTGGCTGGGGCTGGGGTGGCAAATTGAACCGGAAGTATTAAGTCTTTCTGGCGGGATGCATTGGATTCAGCTTAGGGTCAGGGTCGTTCGGGTTGAGGTTAGAGTATCAGTGTATTGGGTGTGAGCGTACACGAAATAATATGTTTATCGTGAACTACCGCCGTAATCCTGCTCATTTGCCTCGTTTTCCCGCGTTTTAGCATTAACGATATCAATAGTAAATATATCACCTGCAGGTCCTTATTAAGCTTTAATCTGTCAAGTGGTTTCCAAACTATGAGCTAAGGATCAATAGCAAACAAAAATTATAACAAGTTGAATTTTGGAGCGTATATGAAATAACAAGTTTATCATGAACTACCGGTGTAAACCAGCTAATTTGCCTCGCGTTTCCGCGTTTTAGCGTTAACTTTCACACTATCATATCTTTTTCCTGTTGCCTATTTTTATGATTATCAATAAAGGAGACGAGGAAGAAAAAAATCAATTTTGTACCTTGGATTGTTTTTTACTTAAACATTTTACACCTGCCCCCAACCGGAAGCCTCACTGCCCTTCACACTTCCGTTCTTCAGAAGGAAAGCGAGGCTGAGTCAAATTGGTCGAAAATAGAAAAATATGGCTGCAAACGCTCTCTCGAAATTCTCCCGTGTATTTGGTCGCAAGTCGGCAGTAGTCATCGGAATGATTCACGTGCAAGCACTACCAGGTAATCAACTTGAATCAAACATTCCTCTGTAACTTTTTGATCAACTGAAAATAAGGTTTGTTATCGATTAGAACCTGCGCTTGACTTTCGCCTAGCTACACAGCTGCCTTCCTTAGCTTTGCAGCTTTCTTTCTAAGTAATTAATTCTCCATCACGTCGCGCATAAAATGAGAAGTTTATATCGAGTTGAAAATATGAATTTAAATTTTTTATAAATTAATCGCTAAAAAGATATGCTGCTATTTTTTCTGCATCTAACCTCTATATTGATATAACGGTAAGCCGGAAGCCTTAAACAATTGTTAATTAACTACCGAAGTCTTTTAATTTTGTCGATATTTCGCCAAAGGAAAATCAGTTTCAGTTGCATGGCTAAACCAGTTAGTTTTTTTTTAAAATTATTTCGGGGTAAAGATCAATCTACCTCAGCGCCAGAATCTTTTGTGACTTATTGGGGTTCAATAAAGCATATGGATAGCACTAACTAACAAGATATAGCGAGTCTACTCGAAAAGTAGGGGGCTACCCCCAAGGGAGTCAGACAAGGATATACCCCCTGGTTATTCAAACCCCAACCTGTTTCAGATCAAAACATGTCTTTAATCTTTCCTATTTTTCAAAAGTACAATGTAGCTGATTTTGTTAATAACGCCTGACGTATTTGAATCTTCTTCTTCTGCTAAGGAACACCCAGGAATCACCTATCTATGACTGAAATAGTAAATATGGCACGCACTGATGCAACAAACTATAAAAATGCTGGAGTGGTAAGAGTATCTGATCACTTATACATTAAATTTCAAATCAGTTTACACAAAACTTCAGAAGCAAAACTAAAGCTGCAGCATTGATTCTTTCAATTTAAATTTTCTATGTGTTTGGTGTTAAACATGAACAGTTTAGTCTTTAGGTGATATCAGGCTTCATACACTTGACATATATGAAATAATTTCTCAATGTATTGTTTGTGGAAAAATTGATCATGAATATCACCAGTGATGGCTTTATTAACACTTTACAACCAAAAATTAGTATACACATTCTCCATACTGTTCTCTATACATTTCCTAAGGTGCTGACAAGGAGAATTTGTTTAATAATCAAGAGCTTCTTTAGTTGGTGATCATCTCCTTTATTCTCGTGATCTTAATTTGTGATTTGGGGCCAATATTGTAAGGAGAAATTAGATGCTAGTCACTCTTAGGGGTCAAGGGGTTGATGATCATCCATGAGAAACATTTTATTTTCATCAGTGTGAGTTCCATTTCACGTAGGAAGAACCTCAATACAAAAGAAATCAGAACACTCGTTGGAACTCTTGGGTTGAGCCCTCGAAAGGGGACCAATCTGGGTTTGGCGGACTAATTTTTGACCCCTGAAAATAAAGGATACCACCATGTAGATAACTGATAGATAATTGTTAAAGGGATATGCAATCACCACCAAAAGCATACAATGGCAAGTAACTCTATTGTGAATGACTACAAAAGATACTTGAAGTAACTTGAAAAGAACTTCAAACATATGCACCTCTAATAGCTGATCATCATTCTATACTGAAAAATAGCAGTACATAGACATTCACACATTATTGCTGACAAAGACCAGTAGTATAGTGTTGAAGCATTGTGATCCTCATTTAAAAGTTTTACTACATACAAGTTAACTTTTATTTGTCTGTATTATAGCCAACTGAGGATGAGTACATGCATTGTTAACATCAAAAACTGAATGATAATGTAGGGGTCAAGAATTGCTGTTTTGACCCTTGTCTTTAAATTATTTTTCTTCAGGATGCTATTTTGATGGAGAACATGCATGATATTCCATATCTAAATCGACATGTTGGACCAGAAATTGTTGCAGCCATGAGTGTGGTTTGCAGTGAAGTCCGAAGAGTGGTGAATAATTTACCGTGTGGTATTCAGATATTGGCTGGGGCAAACAAGGAGGCACTGGCTGTAGCAAAAGCAGCAGACCTGCAATTTATTCGTGCAGAAGGATTTGTTTTTTCACACATTGCAGATGAAGGCACAATGAATTCTGATGCTGGTGAACTACTTAGGTACAGGAAACAAATTGGGGCAGATAAGATTTTAGTTTTCACTGATATCAAGAAAAAGCACAGGTAATTTCATAAATGTATTTTTTATTACTTGTCTAACTAATTTATTGTAATAGCACTGTATTCTCAGGATTTCCAAAACAAGCTTTTTTCTTTTTTTCCTTTCATTTATACAGTACTTATAAATTATAGTAATAAAATTACTAACCAAAACATCATTTTAATGCTATAGCTATTTAGTAACCACAAACTATGACTTACTTGCGCTCAGCTAAGTATGTCATGCTTGGAGCCTCAATAGAGCAAGTAATTTTTTATTTGTTTCATTTAACCCTTTACAACCTATTGTTATCATTCATATTCTCCACACTGTTTTCTCTACATTTCTTGTGGTTGCAAAAGGGAGAATTTGATTAACAATCAGGAGCTTCTTCTTCTGACCTCTATTTGTATTTGATTGAAGGAGAAATTTGAAGCTTGTCACTCCTAGGAGTTAACCCTTTAACTCCCATGAGTGACCAAGGCAGAATTTCTCCTAACAATATCAATACAATATCAACCAGAGAAGTGATGAGAATAAAGAAAAATATCAACCTGGGGATAATTAGTTGATCTGATACTAAATTCTCTGAATTAACATTGTAAGAATTGTATGGTTGACAGTAAGGAGAATGACAAATTTGATCTGGGAGTTAAAGGGTTAAAGGAGTAAATTACTAAAACATGTTTCATGACCAAAATTTCTAATTAAGCTAAGATGACATTTTGTGGAAATTTATTCATTTCAGTTCCCACTTTATAACATCTGATGTGGATATTCTGGAAGTGGCTCAAGCAGCAGAGTTTTTCCTCTCAGATGGAGTGATACTGACAGGAAAAGCAACAGGTGAAGCCACAAGCTTAAAAGAAATGCAGTATGCCAAAGAATCAGTGAACATTCCTGTTTTGATTGGTTCTGGGGTGGATGATAATAACATAGAACAATATCTTGGTGCAAATGCAATGATCATTGGTTCATACTTCAAGGAGGATGGCCATTGGACAAATCCAGTGAGTTTTAAAAAGGTTCATGCCTTCATGGCTAAAATTGAGAGAATGAGAAAATGATGATAAATTGAAATAATATTCCTTAAAATATTTTAGCAGCTTATGACAATGTTTCTAAGATCTTTTAAAATCTCCAATTGTCTGCTATATTCTTTAAATGTCTTGTACAAGGAATTTTTACTGGTACTTATTAACAACCAGTGCAGACCTTACAAAGATATTTAGTAAGAGTTTTGACAATTTTTTCCAAGTTTTGTATTGGTCTTTAGAAATCTTAGACATATAGAGGATCACTGGAAAAGCTTGAAGATAAATATGGTAATATAAATTTAAAAATACATGAGCATGAAACAAAAGTCCTAAATTGTAATTCAAAATTCCTCCATTACAGAAATTTAGTTAACAATTTGTTTTTTGATTTTCTCATTTTCATAAATTTAGCAATAACAAATTATTAATATATATTAATCAAAATTGTAACTTTTGGTGGGTGTTATTTATTTATTTACATGTGATATAAAGAGCTACTAATTCAAGGATTATAATGGTATAACTATCTCCTCAGTGTGTAAAGAGAAACTAAAATGGTTGTCTGCGATAGTTTGTTGCCATCTCAGATTCTAAGAAACCTGTTTTATCAAACTAAGACAATTTTTTGTTTTCAATTACTGTCATGTTTTCTTGCCTTACACTTTCTGGAACTAGAATGTTTAAGGCTCAGAACTTTGAAAAGGCATCATCAGTAAGGTGCCTCTGGAATTACCAGTCCTCCTTAAGTCGTAATTGTGGTAACAATCCTTACACAGAGGTCAAAATTTGTATTAACACCAAAAAAAAATGCTCAAGCTTGAAAAAAAAAGAATGAAAGAAAGAAAACAGTAATAGTCTAAACTTAAATGAAGTAATGCCTAGGCACTAGACAAGTGAGCCACAAAAACCAGATAAATACTTTTTCCATTTATAGAAACTGAAAAATGATATAATGTGAGCTAAATGTTCAAAACTGAAAAACCACAGTGGAATATTTTGATGCCAAGAAACTTGAGATGTTGAATGTAAAAAGTGAAAAATTGCCTCACCTTTGGAGCAAAAAAAAAATGTAAACCATAGATATCCAATGGCTGCCTCTTGGGTAATTTTAATTCTTTTCTAGAGCTTCATTACTAATTTTCATTGAGAGTTTTTGGTCACTAACTATCTATACCTTCTAAACATGATGGGCAAACTGGTCCATTTAAATTAGTAAACAACTTTACTTTCTTACCCCAGGGGAGAGACAATAAATCATCAGAATAGACAATACTTAATGCTTGTGAGTTGCAAAAGTTTATTCCTTCTGTAAATAGAAATTTTCAAGTATTTAGTTATCAGTAAGGAATGGTTTGATTTCTTTTGTATTTAATCAGTTGTTGTCAGGGCTACATTGTTTACCTTTGTGGTTGCAGTTCCATGTGGAATTTGCAGGTTGTCATACTTTATTCCTTATTTATACTTCTCTGTAGATTTTAGCACATTAATATCTGTACAATTTAATTCTATCCAGCTGTCAGTGTTGTCAAAATAAACCAGCAAACATGCATTTTTCCATCTACCCTAAAAAATGTGCCAGCTGTTGCAAATATTTGTAGCTCAAGTTTCAGCAGAGATGCAGTGTATCAGGTGATGTACTTTGTATTACAAACCAATTACCCAAAATATTTTTGACAACTTTGAACTGTAAAGATTGATACAACTACACATTATTAAGTTTAGACGAACTTAATCTTGCAAATGTTCATCATCAAGTTTGTTTTTAGTTTAAACCTTTAAATCCCATGAGTGACTAAAACAAAATCTCTCCTCACAACATCAGTACAATATCAACTAGATAAGTGATGAGAATAAAGTAAAATATCAATTTGGGGATAAGTAGTTGAGCCAGTTCTTAATTCTCTGAACTAACAGTATAAGAATTGTATGGTTGACAGTGAGGAGAATGACAAATTTGATCTGGGAATTTAAGGGTTAAGTGAAGTGATTGTGTGGGAGCTAAGTTTGCAATCTACCAGTTTCAGTGTAGTAGAAAATCCCACAACTCTGTACGGTGAATTCGAGTGATAACACCTGTTTGTGGAAATTTTTTATTTTTTTTATTATGGAAATTTACTCAATCTGCATCTGCAAGACAATTTTTAATTATCCCTGGTAAAGTTGTGTTGGTGATAAAATTATTTTTGTTCTTCTTAAGGCATTGGAAAATTAAGATGTTGTAGATTAATTGACAGGAAAAGGCCTTCAGTTAACTAGAGGAAGGAAAATGCAAAGCACACTCATTCCAATGTGTGCATGATTTTTCAACAACAGCACTATGACGCTTAATTTCATTATTCTAGCATTAATGTAACATTGGCACCGCATTGGTTTGTTTGTTTTGCATAATTTGTCTTCCATCTAGAAAACCCCCTATCAAATCATTAATTACGGGCTAAGTTCAGCATTCCACTCAACACTACGCTTAACCTAGCTACCAGAATTGCATGCGAGATGAGAGTTCATTAGCTAACCTGCTACACTCGCTCAGTAATCACATTACGTAATCATTTACGTAAGTCAGCAACGTGAACTTTAGTTCAAATTTGGTTTATTTCAATCTCAAGGTTGTACTCAAGACAGTAATATCAGACCATATAATGTATGAAATTTAGTGAAATTGTATTTCTTGTTTCAAATTTTCAAAATTATATCGATTTTTTTTTCGTTTTCGTCATAAGAAAAATAAAATAATGCCAACCATACTCTCGTCGATCCGTACTACCTAAGAATGATACATAAATTACATAGCTGGAAGTGCGATCTCCGCGAGCTATTTAACAAATTTGAGCCCAGTTTATGTTTCCAGGATCAAATTATATTAATATCTTCCTCATAGCGAGGAATACAATACACAAGGGAAATAATGAACCTACTCTGGGAAGCAAACTATACCCTCCGAAAGAATATAAATAGGAATGTTTTAAATATTTACAATCGACGGACTTTAGACCCTCACGCTAATCCACAAGCGTCGCTCTTGAATATTAAAATTCTAGCGAAGGTCAACAGCCCCTTTTGCCGTGTAGTCCAACGTGTTTTCCTAGCATCCTATTTCGTTTTTTATTTCGTTTGCTTCTAGAATTATTCTGAAAATGAACCATATTTTGCTTTTTTAAGTTCTTTCTGTTGGCGCGAATGCTGCCTTGGAGCGGAGGTTCGGTTTGTCGCCTCTTTTCAATTAACTCGAGCTGCGCTTGGAATTGGACAGTACGACGCGGTTCCCTCCTTTCCACGACCTCTTCTCCGTTTCTAGCTGTGCTAGAATTCCGGGATGTTGAGGAAAGTGAAGGAGAATGCCGTCTTATACCTGGACCATACACAGACATACTGGGATGTTCGATAAGAAGATCCTCCATCGGGCTTGCTTCCAAAACTTCGGGGGAAAGCCCGCTCGCCTCAAAGCAAGGCGGTGGAGTAACGTACCAACTTTCCTCCAGTTGGATTTGGGCTTTTAACTTAGGATCATCGTTTTCTTTCTCGTCTGTGGAGAATAAAAGTGAGAGATGATTCTGGGGTAATGCCAATTTAGCGATAACGGAGAAGGAAATATGATGTCACCATAGTGGCGCAACCCAATTTAGCATTGTCGTGACGAACACATCTTGACTTCAAAACAATAACCGGCAAAGTGAAATGCGTGAAAATGTATTCTTTGAAATACAAGATATGCTGAAGAAATGGATGCATCTTTCGCCCATTTTCGCTTTGAATAACATTTCAAAGACATAATTTAGGCATAGAAGTTTCCACTCACCACATTTTTTGCCTTTTTGAACGTCCACTAAAATCCAGTCGTCATCGACGCTTTGGGTGTCGTCGACCGATCCCGGGACAAGTTGCTCGTCTGTTTCGCCCCAAATGTAACTTGAAATCGCGGTCCACATCCTGAGTTAATTTCTTTGATCAGCAATAAGGCCAATTTGCAATGATAAGTCACCTTTTCCTAAGCGAAAAAGGCGGAAAATGCAAGTTTACTTCGCCAAGCCAACTCCTATTATTTAGGACAAGGAAAACACAGCTGACACTCCGATTGCTCTCAAAAGAAACGCTTTAACTTAGAAACCTACAAGATTTTCTTTTCCTAGTTACGAAAGGAGTTCACTTACCGTTTTAATGCAGTTGAAGTGAAAAAACGACTAGTCCGCCAAAATTCGTTATGGTTCTTGAGAGATCTGTGTAATGCAAATTTTGTAAACGAAGAAGGAGCCGGTTTTCTAGTCAAATATTTGAGCTTCTGCAGGAAAAATTAGCGCTCTTTCGCGGACGAAATAATTCAAAACAGATTTGTTGCGAAGAAATTAGTCGAAGCTTCGAATGTTACAACAAAAATGACGCCGTTGGTAGGAAAGCAAATCTTGCAGATGTCAAGAAAAAATCTTCGTTTGGGAAAACTCAATGTTTTTGTTGACATTCTGTCAACGTTGGTGACGTTACTTCCAATTCCCAAATATGGAAAGCAAAAACAGCAGGGAATACACGTGACCTGAACGTGCTGTCAGTAAGCCACCCCTACTAGACTTTGGAACATGCCATGTCCACGTCAGGGGTTAGTGCTGCGGAAAACAATATGCTTTCATTGTGTAACAGATACAACAGTGGGCAAACTTGCTGAGATATGCATTTAATAATTCCATGGCGCAGAACGGAGGTCTGCCAATTTTGCTTAAAATTAGCTACAAACGAGCTACGGGCTGTAATGTATGCGATATCCGGAGTCGCTATATATTTATATTAAACACTGATTGTACTAATCAGAAAGAAATATTTTCTAAGAGGGGATCATAAGTCATTACAGGGAATTTCAATTTCCTCAGTTATCCACTCACGCAAATAATCTACTAATGGAGCGTTTCCGTTACAATGCCCCAAGAGATGATATATTCTTCTTAATGTGACCTTTGAACAAGCTCTCGATTATGATGACAACCTCTTACATTGCTGTAAGGCAGAAAGAAAAAAATAATAATAGTAATGAAGAGAAAGTTGTGCTTCAGAATCTTCGGCAGTTAAATAAATTTCGCCTTGTCAGAAATGTCAGCTGCTTCCTCACACCACACCCCAGAGAGGCACCCTGGCTAGGCCATAGCGGTGAGAGCGTCCGTCTGTTGTCTAAAATGGTCGGTCCGAAAGTAAAAAAGGGGGGAGGGGTGGGGAAGTTCGTTCCCTTGGAAAATTTAATTATTGATTTGTTGTAGTTTTTCTTCTTTTGTCATGTTTTTAGAAATCTTAACTGTCTTTCCAAGTTCTACGGGTGAATGACGATGTGTTCGGAGTTACTGAGCATTCTGGAGATGTTTTAACCTCAGGTGGCCGGCCTCTTAGTACACGTGAGCTCTTTGCAAATAAAGTTAATTAGAGGGAAGCACCTTACTTCATGAAATTTACTCCCAGGAGCTGGGACACTCTCAGCAGACACAGCGTTCCGTTTTAGCTGAGCGAGACGCCAATCTGTAACTAGGGGGATTTAAAGGGCTGATACGCCTGTGAACAAAGCACATGGATACAGAAAACATCGTTTGCAATAAAAGTGACTTATTTGATCTACCATAAATCTGCTACAGTATACTCATTAGGTCAATTAGTGTAAGGAAGGAAAGAAAGCGGACGCCTACTAGACAGGTAGCACCTGTCTTGGTTTGCAGGGGACGGTAAGTCCGGCTGAGGGTCGTGCCTAAATCCTACCGGCTAGAGGTACGTTCGAGGAGCAGTGTGACGAGTTGCCGAATCGGATGTTTATCGGAAATTGTCGACAATTGCAATATGGCGGACTATTCTAGTAAATACCAACAATAAAGCGACGTGATTGAACCAGACGTGAATATTATAACATGCTTTACATGTGAAGAATACATTGTTGAGTTTAAATCAAGGAGATTTCGCTAAATCTTGTATGGCTGTTTCCTACACCCTCGTCGATCTTTAGTTTCTTGTTTAGAAGAGTTTAAGCTTAACGCTATAGCCGCTAAGACCTAAGACTAATTGGGAGAGCAGAAAAAGTAAAATGTGAAGCAAACCGTGGTAACAATTGGGCAAAGTCGACTAAATATGCAAGCTGTACCTCTAGCCGGTAGCATTTTCTAAGCCTCCTGAGATCCTACCGGCTAGAGGTACAACAACAAAAGACAAGACAATAGAAGTTTCATCTTGGGGATCTTTCTAACCAATAGCATCATGACAAGGGCATTGAAGTGGCGATACTCTTCATAAGTTTTTTTTACTTTTGCAAGCGTAGGTCTTAGCGGCTGCAGTGTTAAGCTAAAACTCTTCTGAACAAGAAACTTAAGTTCGACGTGGGTGAAGGAAACAGCCATACAAAATTTAGCGAAATCTCCTTGATTTAAACTCAACAATGTATTCTTCACATGTAAAGCATGTTATAATGTCCATATCTGGTTCAATCACGTCGCTTGACTTTTGGTAAATCGCAAACGGTGGTTACTGGAATAGTCCGCTATATTCCAATAGCCGACAATTTCCGATAACTATCCGACTCGGAAACCCGTCACTAGTGCTCCTCGAGCGTACAACCCCGGCTGAGCCCACGCCGATCCGAAATAAGTCTTCCCAACAGCCTTTGGATGCCGCTTTTATCCCACGGAATACTTTGACGCGCGGCGTGTCTGTGTCGGTCTGTCTGTCTACAGCCAACATGCAGTCATCTCTGGAGTCCTCTGGTTTCTTCGAGACTTTCAATAGTGATGCGGACGATTTTGATTTAGAGGACGATGATTTCCCAACAGGAACAATGTCTTTCAACGGGCGACTCGTCATATCAGGCGGTCCTAATATTTTCCCAGTGCTCGAAACGGGAGGTAAACTATTAATTTGTGCCCGATGTTTATATTGTATACGTACAACGATCATGTTTTTTCGCTGATAATTACAACTTTCTTCGTCGGATACACTTTAAATTGGAATCAAATCTTGTTGTTAAAATATAATTTTCAACAGTTGCATCGGTTAATGTCTTCACTAGCATCAGTCAAAGCGGAAAGAAGAAACTTTCAACTGCGTAAAGTCTTTCCTGTTGTCACATACCTTTACCCCTTGGTAACATATCGGGTGGTCTATATTGAACTAATCCCCAAATCGTTAAAGATCCTTAAATAAAACACACATACCATCTTTCTCGATATGATTCAAAGAATATGTTGGTGCGTTCTTAGCACGAGATCAACTCGTTTATGTTAAGCACGCCAGAAAGTTTGATAGAGAACCTCCGTGAGGGAGTGAACACGTCTCAGATGACCTTTTTGCCTCGTTATCTCACCACCCTCTCATTTATACTCAAATTATTTTTTTCTGGTAAATGTTTTGCTCCCCCCCACACATCTAACAGAACTCATGTGTTTTCTCGCTATCGATTGGGCAATTTTCTTCTTGCATGTCAAGGAATTTTATTGTAACATGTGCTGTTTGACAAGTACTTATAAACTTGATCCACCAATGTCACATTTATGATGAACACACCACAAACTAATCCCTGCAAGGACAGCTGCTTCCATAAATACCTCTGTATCAGTGTTTATTAAATTATGGCTTTTTTTTTCTAAGTTGTGAAACTTTGCATTTATGTTTAGTTCTTGGTGACCAATATATTTTTTTTATTCTTCCCCAATATTTTTTCAACTTGTCACTCTAATTTCTTTGTTCCACATTAAGTGCATTATTGCGCACTGCCTCTTGCACCATTGGATTTGATCTTTTGCAGTTCACTTTTGAGCTTGGGAACAAGCTCTCCAGGGGAAAGAGGGTGCAGGTGGAGAAAGAGTGAGAAAGATGAATGGGTAGGGATGGGGGAGGGGGAAGGGGAGGGGGAGGGGATGGTAGGGAGCCTCTGCTACAACTCCCAATCTTCCATTTTGCACCCCTTTCCCCCCCCCCCCCTTTGCTAAATATCAGTTCCCATTTACCCCTTGAACCAAAGTTTGTCAGTTTGTCAACTGGTCATCATTTTTTCAGATGTGTTTGATTGTTTATTAGGGAGAGGCATTGTGTTTGTGCCAGAAGATAAGAGTACTGATTGTGATGGGGATGATCATATTGATGATAGTATTTGTAGAGGTTACGGAATGTCAGTTAATACAGATCCACAAAATATCAAGTTTGACATCATTTCAACCAGGATAAATGAAAATCAACGGAAGCAGCATGTGGTCAGTAAATTGAATAGAGTTATTAATTTTGAATTTCTGTAGGTTTATTACAGCTTTGCTCTGTATGCCACTTCTTGAATGCTTTTCGATGCTGTTGTAGGTCCTGTACAGTATATTCAATCCACTAACTATTTTTGCATCTTACATACAAGTAAAATTGCTGTTGTTTTTGTGTTTGTGTATTCAGTTACATATGTATTTTTTCTATAAGCGATAAATGCATAAGTTCAAGAAATTAGTCTTCTAATTTTTTACTGTATTTATTTATTTTTTTTTTAGTTTTACACCCTCATGGTCCTCAAAACTGAAGGTGTTGACACAGACAAAGCTTTAATAGACCGACGTTACTCAGACTTTGCAGCTCTTTATAAAGCTCTCAAGAAAGACCATTCCAAATTACTTGAAGGTGTAAACTTTCCTGGAAAAGTTTTTGGTCAGAAAAGTAATTTGAACCCTGAAGTTATAGAGGCCAGACGCTGTGCTTTTGAGTCTTTCCTTCAAAAGGTACACACTCATAAGGAGGTCTTTCATCATCCAGCTTATAGGAAATTTTTCTATTTGCCAGAACTCTGCGAGGCGACAGAACACTTGAAAGGTGGTGAATTGAAGCGTAGTCTAAAGCTTTTGCTGAACAGTCTGCATCTTCAAGTCAAGTTGTGTGATCAAGTGAGAGAGATCATTGCTACTTTGGCAGCAATTGTTGTCGTGCATGAGGCTCAAAGTAAATTTGAAGAAGCTGATCGTTATGCAACAGCTGCTCTTGAATTAATTGATGAAGATCATTACTGTTCTTATCTCATTCCACTTTTGGATACAACAGCCAGACTTAGATGGAAACTAAAAAAAGACAAGAGCACAATAGAGAGACATTTGGCACACGTTCAAAGAACAAGTGGGATTGATGTCGATTGTGCTTTCACTTTGCGAGAGCTTGCTGTTACAAGGTTTAGCATGTGAAATGTTTCTATTTGAAGGAGAGTTTCAAATTGTAGTACATGGACAGGAAGAGGGCATTCCCCATGAATTAGTCCCCAGGGTGCTTGTTTCCAATCATTGTCAGGATAAGTTTGTCTTTTTTTTTCAGATTTGAACATTCTGTCGTTTATTAATTAGCAAAGTTGTGAAGGCATGCAGTCAAGTTCATCAGTAAGGGAATGTGGAATTCACAAGTTAGACTACACATAACTGAATTGAAAAACCTCTGACATTGTTGACGTATGAGAAATT